ACTTGGTCGGTTGCTGTCATAGCGTTCTGATAATAACGTTACGCGGATTTTGAAGTATCTACTGTTCGCTACGGAATCGCACGCTGCCCTTGCGAATAAGGTACTCCTTTAGACGACGCACTCGATGCAATTGAACCGTAGTCTCCGCCCCGTTGCTGCGTTCAATCTTGAGCTCATCTAGCGTGTCTCCCAGGGAAACCACCTTGACGACTTCTCCCTCATCAAGGAATCCTCGCTCTGAATCGGGGCAACACCAGACCATGTCACCTGGAAGAATAGAGTCTTTAGCTGCCAACCTACTTGGCCACGTTAACACAATCGAGTGTAGCTGCCCAAAGTAACCCCGGCGCTTGCCTCGATGAATGAACTTAGAATACTGTGCAGCTAACTGCAGCGGCAGATTGATCCCGGAAAGCCCCGACACGGGAGAAAAATCTTGCGCAGACACGAGCAACGATGCTGAATCTACAGAGCTTGACGATGCCTTGTCCTCTTTTTCCTCTTCGATGTCATGAAGAATTTCATCTTCAGTTTCGCTACCAGCGTTGTCTTCAATATGAGTCTCTGTCATTGAAGCTGCAAGTGGTGGTGTGCTTGTTTCTAGACTTTTTTGCTGCATCCGAACGAACTGAGTATCAACCACCTACACAATGAATCAATTAGTAAAGCTCTCACCTCTTGAACATCAGCGTCTTGCCATTCTACTGTGTCTCCATCGTCGGAGACAGATCCATCCAACTGATGCAGCTTTCGCTTGGTTCCTAGCTGGGTTGACATTATACATGTAAGTCCCTTAGACTATCACACTTTATCAATAAACCGCACCATTTTGGAGAAGATAGACGAGGCTGTCGATGTCGCGGTGCTGGGCTGCCATCATTGATGCTCTGTTAGTCCACACAATCAAAAATACAGTGACTTTCGTTCAGTGCTCACCACTTGAGCGCTCGGTCGACCGGTTATTTGCTCCGTTGAAGCCTCCGACTCAATAAAAGACGGAATGGGAGAAGAAAGAGAAGAATGAGAAGAAGAATTAGAGCTGGACGGGATGGAGAATTCATCCTCGTCATCGAGAGCTTCAATGTCGCCATCTCTCGACAATCCTGCAAACCCCACCGTCGAGATGCCGTTGCTATTGATCTCTGCCATTGCATTTGATTGTGTGTGTTTTCCAGTGTACAGTGCCAGCTTCTCTTGCCATTTCTACAGCATCAGATGAGTCAGCGGAGACCAATCGAGATGGAGAACATCACTTCGAACCTGCCGGAGTCGTTCCATGTCCTCGTCCGTAGAAGATTCACTCTGTTCTCGGTAGGAAGAGCACACGCGCTGGATCACACGCGAGTAGAACGCCTTCAGCGTCACTGCGTGCAGGTCACTCGGGATACTTCTTTCACTCGGTTCTCCAATGCTCTGCATTCCGCTGAATGGGTACCACCGAGCAATATGTGCACTACTGGAATGTTTTGTTTTGATGTTTGTATTGTTCGTATTAAGTACGACGCGAAAACGAACTTTTTTGGGGTGTTCATTGCTCATCGGCACAGTTCGACGTACATGTACAAAGCAAAGTGTGTTGCTTAGTGCACCAACAATGAAGCCGCAAAGACATTGATTAATTGGCGAGTGCGATTTTGACTACACACTCGCCTATAACAATCAAACTTTCCCCTCGACAGGACACAGCTTCACTTGTCTACCCTTTATTGGCGTAGATCTGTCACTTTCGTCGTCGTTTACTGGCGGAATTTCTCCGGGACGCCGTTGCGCAGGTCACGCTTACGCTGCAATAATACAATTGTAAAACGAATTGTCAAGTCATTACAGCCCACTCAAAGCTGCTCGCCGTAGAATTTCGGCACGTACACGTTCATCGGCTCCCATGACGTAGTAGAGGCCGAAGGGGAAGAGACCCCAGGCCGCCATGGACGTGAAAAACTCGCTGTCAAACTTGAAGCGCTTCTCCGAGTCTCCTCGCCAGTTGTTCCAGTTCTAGGGACCACAGCAAGGTCAGTATTGGCAGCCTTCGTGATACGTAGAGCTACGATAACAAGACAGCCGGACGCACCTCGATGTGCTTGTTCTTGCTGAGCGATCCACCGTGGCGGCGCTGGTTCTGCAGCTGAGTAAGCGCGCGCTTGGAGGCCGCTGAGCGGCGCAGGGTTGTAGCGAGCATCGAGATGAGAGGTTTCCTACGCTGCGAACCGCACAAATGGCCGCTGTCAGATCCCCCAACGACATTGGCTGAAACGCATGCAATATCTGACGATGATTGGTCCAAACCTGCCAATCAAATCAATTCTCCAGAACCACCGGAATATCCCAACTTGAGCTTGTGCAGCATACAGTTTCAATCGTACAGTATATTCA